AAAAGAAGAATAAAAATAAAGAACTAGAATTTAGTAAAGTAATTCACGTCTTTTTTTCTTTTCTTCCTCTACATTAAGTTTCTGCCTTAAAGCATTAAATGTTTTTGAATACAGTTATAATAATCTTTAATAAAAAGATCTTTGCGCAAAAGAAGAATAAAAATAAAGAACTAGAATTTAGTAAAGTAATTCACGTCTTTTTTTCTTTTCTTCCTCTACATTAAATAATTTCGTCTAAATTTAATTTTAACTAAAATCAAAATTAAGTATCCATTCATTCATATCTACTCGTACTCATTTTAGTTATTGGGCGTTTTGAATGACATACTATACGTCATCAAGACACATATGACGGATCAAATACGTACCTTCAATTTGGTTTTAACTAAAATAAATTCCAAACATCTGTTTATATATTATATAAGCGTAATCATTGTAGTTGTTAGGCGTTTGCGCAAATAAAAAAAAAAGATATACTATACGCCATCAATACTTAATAAATGACGGATAAAGTACCTATTACATTATTTTGAACCTTATGTCAACCAAGTTCTGTTACGAACATTAACCTGCTTCCCTTTCGATAGTAAGAACAACCACATTAAAACAATCTTAACCTCACGTTCGGTTCTTCCCGCATCGCCAGTTCTGCTTACCAAAAACGACTCACTAGAAACTCTCATACGAGCTTCCACCAGAGTTCCTCTGGTTTCACCCTATTCAGGAATAGTTCACCATCTTTCAGGTGTGTTCGTGCACAAATTTATCAATGAATATCCTGATCGGTCGATGGTGCTCCACCCGATGAGCGCGGCTCCCACAGCAATTACTTTCATTACGCGTTACGAGTTATAACACCAAACACTCGCACACATGTTAGACTCCTTGGTCCGTGTTTCAATACAGGTCGTTTAAAACCATCACGTTAGCATCCTTAGCGAATTCTCATCACCCTAATCTCTGGTTAATCAGATATCACCATGGTTAGCAAAGCTATAAACAGCGAGGTGATCAAAAGAAATCCAGGTAACTAGCCAAGTAGCATTCGCTGCAATCCTCAATCCAGGTCATCACATCTACCAGAGTCTATAACACTCCCCGAGGGGAGCCACCTTACCGAATAATTTTATTTAAAAGATTACCCACACCTTCAGGTGAAAGTGAACTCGATGACTTCATCAGTGTAACGCGTGTGGCCCAGAACATCTAAGTAAGTGCATCACAGACCTGTTATCGCCTCAAACTTCCATCGGCTAAACGCCGATAATCCTCTAAGAAGTTGTCGAACCTCCCGAAGTAGGAACTAACTATTTGTGAACTCGATGACTTCATCAGTGTAGCGCGCGTGCGGCCCAGAACATCTAAGGGCATCACATACCTGTAAAGGTCTCGTTCATTATCGGAATTAACCAAACAAATCACTCCACCAAGAACAGCCATCCACCACCACTCATAGAATTACAGTAAGAAAGAGCTCTCGATCTGCCAATCCTTACTATATATAGACCTGGTGAGTTTCCCCATGTTAAGCCGCAGGCTCTTCCCCTGTTGGTGCCCTTTCGTCAATTTCTTTAAGTTTCAGTTTTACGACCATACTCACTCCCCGTTACCCAAACACTTTGGTTTCCCGTAAGGCGCCAAACGACTCATTAAAAAATCAACATTGTCCGATCCCTGGTTGGCATGGTTTATAGTTAAGACTACGACGTTATCTAATCGTCTTTGATCCCCTAATTTTCGTTCTTGATTAATGAATATATCCTTGGCAAATGCTTTCGCAGTAGTTAGTCTTCAATAAATCAAAGAAT